AATATTTTTGACATTTTTACTATACTTAAATATTTTATGTTCTGTATCTTCACTTGTTTTTTTCATTCATCTTTATCATTGATTATTAAAATATTTTAAGTGGGATATAGAGAATATTTTAATTTTTTTTATAAATAAAATTATTTTCTTTCATTCCAATCTGTACATAAATGTACATTAGTATATAATTATACATATATGAATTGTCTCTCTTATGTTAATTTATTATTTTCATTTTAACCTCTAAATTTTAATAATAATAGTATAAATTATTTTTTATCATAAAAATAAAAAAAGACCCAAAGTAATATTTAAAAATATATTTATTAGTTTATTTAAAATTAAATTTATTAATCTATTTAACATTATTAATATAAAATAAGATTTTAAGTAACTTCAGCAAACTTTAAAAGGCTAAAAAAATCTATCATAAATAATATACCAAACTCAAAAATGTGAATGAACCAAGTCTATTAACCTAACTGACAACTAAAATAATGGACTGAATAACTTCTTAGAAACTAAAATAACCTATACTAGTCCAGAGATCCAATTCACCTTTATTTATTTACTCTTTTTTTTTTCTTGTCTTACTAGTTTCATTAACAATTAAATGAGAGAAAAAAAATTGCATTTTATAAATTATGACAGATAAAAAAGCATACAAAAACTAGCTAAGTAAAAAATGAATATTTCATTTCATATTATAAAGCGGAGATATCTGCTACAAGTGTTGCAAACCACCTTCTGCCTACTTATGTTACTAACATGCCAACTATGGACGCTGAAGTTGTTTTGAATAAGTTGGTAGTTTGGGATGAGAAAGGTGGTTAAGCAGCTGCAACCTCTCCTAGCCATGTTAAAGCAAAAAAATTGAGAGCAACCTCTCCATTCTCCAACTTTCTACTTCATCAACTAATAAGCGGAAGGCACATCATGTAGTGGATGACCCTTTCGATTTCTTTCCATTATTTTGCGTGCAAGGGATACTTGCTTTCCAACCACAAAGATAAATGCCTTGCCCACTCCCTTGGCACCTCTGGCTGTTCTTCCAACACGCCGTACATATTCACTTGGATCACGTGGGAAGTCAAAGAGCATGACATGATCCACTCCAGCAAAGTCTATTCCCCGTGATGCTCTGTCACAATTTACCATAATCAATTGTTGCAACAGATACATAAAAACCACTCAAAATTGACTAACATAAAAATACCTGTCCGTGCAAATCATAATCTGGGAGACTCCTTTTGATGGAGGACTAGTAAACTCTTCCATACTAGCAAGTCGTGATTCTTGTGTCATGGCAGCATGGAAGGGTAGAACTTGCACGCGATTTCCTTTTCTATCAAACCGCCTTAACGAATTTTCAACTTTTCTGCATGTTTCAATCTGCAAATTTTTTTTGGATAATTATACCAAATGAAAGGACAAAAGTTGCATAAAAAAAATATTTAGAAGTCTCAAAAGTAAGAAGGTACAATACTTTGTTGCAGAACACAATGGTTCTTGGGACAGGATTTTCCTCCACAAGTTGCAAAAGTGCATCTTTCTTGTTCAAAAATGCTGTATCAGGAGTTTTTTCTTGTCCATCTTCTCCACTGCAATCTACTACAATCTGAACAAATGAGAAGATAATCATCACAACCTAAGAATATAGTAAAGCACCAAAACATCGCAGCACCCTAAGAAGAGATAATACAGGTGTTTCATACGAGTTTTATATTTGTTACAAGCTATGGCTCCATATACAATGGTCCAAAGCAAAGTACATATATATAAAGCTAGTGAATAAAATATAATTCAATTTAAACTTCGTGTACGTGGAATAAGACTTTGGTGTAATATTGTTGTTAAATCTCATATAGGAGACAAAGTGATTATGTTTCTCATACTTAAAGTCAGCAAATACAGGGATTGGATTTTCTTGTATTCAGTCAGCATATTCAGGGTATATGTTTTCTAATACTGGTAGGACATAAAATAAAGAGAATTAAAGTAGTTATTAATTAGAAGGATACCATGGGTCAGGTCCATCATATATCTATAACAAGGAGGTTACTTGGTAGGGGGAGGGGCATTGAGATTAGTAAATTTGCGGGAATAGAGCACTGGCTCTGTTGTAAAAGGGAAACCCTCGGAGGAGACAAAAAGATTCATCTCCTATCTCATGTTCTTTTCGGTCAATAAATAATCTTTTCTTTCTTCTATATTTTTATTTTGGGTTCCTAACAAATACTCAGTCATGCTGTCTTCTCTCCAAGAAAAATGAAATAGAAGGAAACGGAAGTTACAGCCGAAACCTGACCTCTTCAAGGCGAGAACTTATTCGGTGCATACCAGGCCCCATAATCATTTCACAATCTGGAAAAACTTCGACCAATTTGCTATAAATATTTTTTGGTAAAGTTGCAGTCACAAATAAATACTGTGTGTCAACGGGTGAAGAATTGATCAAGCATTGAAGAGCCACTTCGAAGTCCTCATCCCCAAAGAGTATATCTACCTCATCCAACACAGCACTGCAACAAATTGCTGTAGTTAAGATAAATTTCACAATAGGTGTGCGCAGATAAAATATCCTAATTGGACAACCACGGTGAGGAAGGAAAGGGCATGGAAGCCTGATACTTTTTTTATTCATTTAACAGGAACATGTTACAATATCAAAATAGGAAAGACAGATATCTCAATTGATATATATTCACACCATAGAAACTAAACTTTATTCTTGGAATTTGACGGACAGTAAGAGTTTATTCACTGTTGATTTGGATTAACAACGTCCTAACTCACTCTAAACCAATAGCAGATAATACACCATCAGGATCATCTTATCACTTAATGCTCCTCTTTTTTGAGTAGCCATATCCTTATTCCTGATATGATATCAGTGCAGTTTCAACATCAATTTCCACATGTTGGACACTTAATGACATACTGACAGCAGATCAATCAGCAACAGAAATCAATTTCGCCGTGTTTTAATCTCAATGACCAATTTTGGAGCAAAAGTTAAATGAAAATTCAAAATTATGTCCTCGTTAAAGATATGTCTACAGCAACTAGACCAAGCAATTCCAAGAACCAATTTAGTACAAGTAACTGAAATAAGTTATGCTGGCTTGTATTTCACTGTTACCCATTGTGTCTACAAATTCATAAAATACTAATGGGAATTAGTTGCACTCCTGCATGTTTAATGATAAAACAGAAATTCAACGTATAAATTTGTAATGGTAGAAATTAATTCGATCAAAAAGAGACCAATGTTTACCATCTTAGATTTGTTAACTGCAAGAAGCCTTCATTTATGAGGAACAAAAAACGGCCAGGTGTAGCTATTAAGACATCAACTCCCTGCTGTAGATTTTCCAGTTGAGTTCTCTGTCGAAAACCTCCTGTAACAACCATAGATTTGAATGGAACCCCAGATTTTGACAAGGATCGACAATTATCCAAGACCTGCAAAGGAAGCCATGGTCCAATACATTGACAACACAGTTATACCACTCTCAAAGGGATGAAACACGAAATATATAAAATAGATTGTCATTGAGAACATAAGCAGCATTTGACCTGAGAAGCTAACTCAGCAGTGGGTGCCAAAACAAGGACTCTAGGAGCTTGTGAAGAGGATTTACTACGCCCATCAAGTTCTTCTTGTCTAAGACGCTGAATGATTGGCGCAAGATAAGCCAATGTCTTTCCAGAACCACTTTGATCAGCAATGACACAAGTCTTTCCTCTAAAAACAGGTGCAAATGCCATGGCCTATACATACATACATACTCACAGTTACATGAATTACAGCATAAAACCTAAAGTAATGATTTTTTTAATACCTGTACATGGGAAGGGCGCGTGAAGGAGAGTTTTTGAAGGGATTGAATGATATAATCGGTGCAGCCTATTTGTTTAAAGGATTTGAGACTGAAAAAGTTGGTGTCAGTGGGGGATTTGGTTTGTGGGGGAAACTTGGGAATGGTATCCCATCCTCCTCGTGAACGTCTAGGGGCAACATCTTCATCTTGAACTTGAACGCCGCGTCTTTGCTCCTTGCTTCTGTGTAGCAGAGTCTTGACTTTGTGGGCTTTGAGTCTTCCGAAACTTGAGAAGGGAGAATCGTTACCGTTATCGGCGTTATTGGTTGCGGTTGTGTCATGTGCTTGATTGGCGGAGAAAGAGAGAATGCGTCTCTGTGACTGTGAGTGGATGAGGAACACATTCGAAGAAGGAAAAAGTTGCGCAACCACCATTTCTCTGTCTCTGTTTCTTCGTTGAAGATAAGTTTCATTTCAATACATTCCACCAGTCCCACGTTGCCTCTATGTAATTTTCCATTCGATAAAGCTATTTAATGTTTAGTTGCTAATTATTGCAGCAAATGCTTTTAAAGTAAAACATTCAAATATATTTGAGACATTTTTATAAGTAACTATGGAAGAAATATCACAATTTTTCATTCACGAATAAATTAAAATAAGAAATTCTAAAACAAATTATATAATGAGTGACCTTGAATTCCCCCATCCCGTTTAAATAAAATTGTTTTTTAAATAATTTTTAGTTTTAAAAATTACACTCAATATGATTTTAGAATGAGATTAGATTATACCTTGAATCATCTTAGCCTAATCCAATATCTTTCCTATCTTTACCAATATATATTATTTTGATCATTTTCGTTTAAATATAAAAATAATTATTTAAAAAGTAGATGAGAATTGATTTTTTATTAAAAAAAATAGAAAATTACCTATTTTAAAATATAGAAGTTTAAACAAACGTTATAAAAGTAAAACAAAAAAAAAACTTATTTTATTAAAAAACACTTTTTCTTAAAAAATCAACAATCAAACTTATTAAAAACAATAATTTTTAATTTTCAAAGATGAAAATCATAAAATAAAAATTACTTGCAATCACTAAAGTTGAAATTTACTTATTTTGCATCAACTACAAACACTGAATTAAATTCCAGAGAGACGAAAATAAAGATTAAATAAATATCAAAACTAAAATTTACTTTTTATATATAAATAAGAAACATTTAACTATATTTATATAATCAATATAGTATTCATTTTAAAATGTATAATATAAAGTTTAATTTTACACTTTTTTAATTATACTATTTACCTATATATAATATTGATATTAATATATTTATTAACAAATGATGACCTAATTTAATTACATATCTTGTCATAATTTGTTTGGATCATATTTCAATCCAGCGAAATAATTCTATCAAAATTTTAGATAAAATGTACACAAAATAAACTCAATTTAATCAATTCCATTACTTTAATATACATTCAGAAATTAAAAATAAAATATTTTAAATCAAAAAATTGTCTTATAAAATCACAAAATCTTATTATAATTTTATAGATGATAATCTAAAGTAATTCATTTTAGACAAGCCAAATATGATATTTTCATGCGAGTTATATCATGTAATTCAGTTATTTATTTAATTTATTTTTTTTTTAAAAAAAACAAAGTGGTCATACCACGGCTCTATAAATTATGAAAACTACTATTTTGAAGCATACAAAAAAATCTTTAAATACGAATCCTGAATGAGCGACATCCCAATTTACACATACACAGTCGTTGTTGATATTCTGAATCTGATTTTCAGTTACATATATTAGAAATGAGTTCCACAAAACAACAGTCATAAACAACAGGTAGCAGTGCGACCAAGTATTTTTAAAGCATTTGACAAATCCATGTTCATCCAAACTTTATTAAACAATCCAAGTCTTCCATCATGTGGTGAAACTAGGATTAGCATTCTGCATCTGGCGACGAAGTTCTACCAGGAAGTCTGGCTGTGACACAGAGGAAGCACTTGTAGATAGCTGGGAGCATAATCTGAAAGGTCAGGGTGAGGAGAAGGAGATTACCTGATTAGGGGGGTGTCTGAACTGATTCCATACTGATGTCCCACTTGAATACATAACTGGTTTTTCTGAAATGTGAAGAAAAGTACTAAGCAATACATGTTCATTCTTAACAGTTCATATGCAGTGTAAATAAAAATAATGATATCCATCACATAATTCGGTCTTCTGCTTGAAATACATCAAAGGACTTGAACTATTAAGTGTAAATAAAAATCACGAATTAAAAGACTTAATTACTGATACTGCATGTGGTTGAGATTATTAGTCTATAATATACATCATACAGACCTATTGAAATAAACGGAAAAAATGTTAAAAACGCTATTTATTAGTGTATAAGGTAATAAAAACATCTTTTAGTTACTTGAGTAGAGTCAACAAACCTCTCATAAGCATCTCAATTATACAATAGATCACTCCTAACATATCTAATCATAAATTACTCATGGATGACACAATATTTATCCAATTAGTAATTGACAACAACTTCAATTAGATGCTTCAAATCACCATACTATGCATATTTATTACATGAGCAAGATCTTTGGATATTTTGGTTATTCGATAGGAATTATCAGGGAGCAGAAAAGACATCAAAATTCAGTTTGAATAAAGTTTTTCATGAGTACTTATAAGAAAAGAAAACACATTGAAATTCTCTATAAGTTAAAATTAACCTGCACATCTTGACTTTTGAAGAAGTTAAATGAAAAGAGCTTCTATAAAAGCTAAGTGCATAAAATGATTTTAGTTTGTGAAAATTCAATTTATTTTACTTTTTTATTTTCTTCTCCTACAAGTGTTTATTAAGTTTATCCAAACAAGACTTGAGCCAAATAAACTTGTCCAGTTTCCAGCTTATAATAAAGTAAAAATATTAGTTTCTTTCTTCCCTCTCCATTTGTAGTTCAGTATAAATGCCATTACACACTCACATGGAACTGCTAGCAGAATGCGCAAAAGTATTTGGGCTACAGTAGTCAGTCTGAATCATTTCCTAGTTTCACTGATGACTTCACTAAGAACTTAGACAAAAAACAAGTTTGAGTTTCACCATTGTCAAATACTATAAATAAAGTGGCAAATATCCATAAAATGGAAAAAAAGATATCATCTATGATGGTTGTGCACTAACCAGATGAATCTTTGGGATTATTGTAGGACTGTATTGCAGCTGTCCAACCTGACAACAGAAATTTATGGCCAACAGAGATAACAGCTAATGTTAAACAAGAATATGGACATAACATAATGGGCTTGTAAGTAAATAAACACACTCCTGCCTCACCACCGAACCCTTTGTCTCCACAATCTAATAAATTTAAATTCTGTTATGCAAAGCTGAATAGTTACAATACTGAGGACAATACAAACTCTAATGAAACAAAAGGCAAGTAGACAGATAATTAAAGCAAAACATATATTCATAATAAGCAAAACAATTTATGAGAATGTTGACATTTCTTTAGACTTGGAAGTTAGTAATCATCAGTTAAGGAAACTGAGACTGGTCAAGAACAAGAAAGAAAACTTGAAAAGAAATTTCTGGACGAATATTCAGTATAAAGATATTTACATAATATATAGACTAATCCTTGTTTCTATTTTCCTAAATTATATCAACATTACAGCTATACAATTATACAAATCTGCCTAATAAAAAGAAATTAATCTACCTACTAAAAGGAATTTAGGAAACATAGACATAAGATAACAACAACAATCCCTCAAGCGAATGAATGAATATCTATCACTGTTGACTAAACTTACAACTATGAGCCTGAAATCGCTACATAGAGAGTCCTTTAGTCAACACATATACCAATTGATGTCCTGAATGAACACAGGTTGCAATGATCAAACCATTATCTAGTTATTCTTTGATGAAGGGTTGGTCTATCTCTGTATGCTTTGTCCAATCATGCTGAACAGGATTATGAGCAATGTTAATGGCTGATTTGCTGTCACAAAGTAGCTTCCTGGGTACTTCATATATAATTTTTAATTCATCAATACCATAGTAGTCAATAGCGGTTGTTGCGGCCGCAATCGCGGCGCGTCGGAGCGGAGCGGCTCTGTGCCGCTTCAAAAAGTTTGTTGCGGAGCGCTTTGAAGGAGCGGTCGGAGCGGCCGCGAAAGCGGCGGAGCGTGGCGGTGCGATCGCGGGTGGGTGACGGAACTTCTCTTCTTTTTCCGGCAGATCTCCGTCGATCTGTCTTCTCCGACAGCGGCTGTCTTCTTCGATGGTGGCTCTGTCTTCTCCGATGGGCCAAGTTTTGTTTTATCTTTTGATTTGATTAAGGGCCTTTTACTTCACTATTTTATTTAGAAAGTAACTTTTCTTTATTATTAATTCAGATAATATTTTAAGTAATAAAAAATTTAATATAAGACCTTAAATATTTTGTTTTCTTAATTTTTTTTATTTTGTTTAACTATTATAAAGTTTTATTATTAAAAATATTTAATGTATAAATTAAGTTATGTTTCTATTTTTATATGTATATTATTAATTATTTGTATTATAAATTATTTAATATATATATATATAAATTAAAAAAAAATAGAATAATGGTATCCCACTATTTATTATTTGAGGGAGAGGAAGACTTTAATCTTGATGAGGAAGAAAATTAAACTATAATGTTTAATTTTTTATTTAGAGCTTTAACACTTTGTTTTGAAAACATTTTATATTATGTATTGTTTGAGTACTATGAACTTTTAATTATTAAAAATGTTTAATGCATGAATTTAGAGTTATTTTTTGTTTTTTTAGCTTATATATATATATATATATATATATATATTATTCATTATTTAATATATATAAATTAATATTAAAATAGCGGTTATCCCGCTCCGCGTCATCCCGCTATCCCATTTTTAGGGTCGACCGCTCCGCTCCGCTATCCGGGATTGACTACTATCAATACAATCTTTCACCGAAGTAGTTCACAAGTTCCTTGTGACATGGCTCAAAACTCAGCTTGTCCACTTCACCGAGCAACTAAATTTTTCTTTCTCACCCATGCAACTAAGTTTCCACCCAAGAAAATACAAGAACCTGAAGTTGATCCTATATATGATCAACCCTGCATAATCAGCTTCTGCTTCTTGATACAGTTTCATGGATAAATTCCCACCTCTTTTGAACATTGGTAGTTAGCAAGGCACAGACTTCTAGTAATGAATAATTCTATCCACTACTTGCAAGTGCCTCTTTTGTGGATCATGCATGAATTAGCTAACATAATAACACTAACTGCATCTGCATATGCCATGCCAGGTCTCATACGAGCAAGATATATTGCCCACTAAACTTTGATATTGAGCTTTGTAAACTTTAGGACTCTATCATTCCCAATCCTTTGATCTTGTTATATGGGCACGCTAGAAGCTTTGCAACCCAATTTCGAAGTTTCCTTAAAGAGATCAAGAACATATTTCGTTTGGAAAACGAAGATGCCTTGCCAAGAATAAGCAATTTCAATCCCAAGGTACTCCTTTGTCCTTCCAATATCACTTATCTAAATATAGAAGCTCATAGAAATTGGATTTAAGAGTCTAACTCAATCCTACAAAACCAACTTATATAGTGAGGACTACCGAAGCCTACAAGCACTATTAGGACATATCTCTACTCTCTAGTTGATGTAGAATCTCAACTGCCTAAAAGTTGATGTCCCAGTGGCTGCAAACTATGATGCTTCACTAAACCTTTCTAGGCAGTCCCTCCTTAGGTAGCCCTTTCCAAGACAATAGAAACCAATTTTAATAGGCAACAATTAAGTTGAGCTAGGGGTGACAACAATTAAGGCAACTTTACAACATAGGCTAACTAATCCTTTAATCATCTCTCATATTTTCCTTTTCCAACAAGGAACATATTCTTCACAACAAACTAATTTTATGTAATGTAAACATATAAATTTCTTATGTTCTTTATTTTTTATTAATTCATTATCATCTTTCATTTTTTTACTTCTTTACTATGTTCTTATTGCTCCTAGATATCATGGTGATTGTGTGTATAAACTATGACTTGCTATTTATCATAAATTTCTTTAATTTTGAGTATCTTTTTAGTATTTATATGTGTAGTATATACTATTTAGTTTGCATTATAAAAACCTTGTTGTACAATAATAACAACAATTATTCTCAATAGAAAAAGATAGGAAATTTTAGGACAACATCAACGAATGCCTTGAACAGTATCAAGGTGATACTTGTTCTAACGACACTTCCTAGACTTTGACAGACCTAGGGCTCTCCCTGCTCTCACTTTTCTTACAATATAAAATATCCTCCCTACTCACTATCACCTCCTTTTATTGATTTGGGGGTCTAACAGAAACTAAGTCAATGGAATGCATACAAACACCTTTGGAATCCATTAAGAATAGATGAGCATAAAACATATTAGATAAAACTAAAAGTTGGCCTTAGGCATCCCCATTCCACCAACAAGCTCAATGAAACCATCATGATTCATATACTCCAGAAATTTGCATATGTCAAATCTATGCTTATTTGTCACAGACAGACTCCCAGTAATGTTCTGATAAGAAAACCTAGAAATCGTCATAGTGAAAGAATATGTAATTGCTCAATATGTGCAAGTTCTCTCAAGAAAAAGTTTGGGATATACTTACGATCATTAAGAAGCTGGGCAGCTGCACTGTAACTACACCCTTCTAAAGCTATGAATCTTGAATAGTGATTCTCATTGAGAACATTACTGCTACCAGCATCTCCATGATCTGGAATGTGAACACTTCTTGAAGAAGCAATTTGATTCTTTTCTAAGTCATTCCCGATACTGTTTGTCCGATCAAGCCGATCTACAGAAGTTGATAAAAACCGATCAACTTCAAGAAATTAGAGACAAACCTAATAAAATAGGGACTGGCAGAAAATGTGCCAAAAAAATTTGCAATTGCTCAGCGGGAGTTATGCAAATGAGAAATTAGTAGTTGGTCAATAAAGAGGGCCACTGAAACAAGCATAATCTGTGGCTAAGAGTAACTGAGAGTTATTCACATGTGATATTTCTTTTAATTTCTCTCCCATAAGACAGTTCCTGAAGGGTTAAGACAACGGCATCATGAAATATTACAATGATAAAACCTAAATCCCCATGCATCTAACCCAACCCCACCAAATAAAAGGATAAATTGATTGGAGGAGTGAACTGACCAGATGACTTGCGCCTGTTGGCAGAACGGTTCCTGCAAAAGAGAGAAAAAGAAAGATTAGGAATTGAAAAAGGAAGCGTGTGGGTAACATAACAGAATAGAAAAATACCTCTGGTTGGGAGGAGCATAGCGCTTCACCACCGTGCCCGATTCCGTTGCCGGAGCAGCCTGAAGGTTCTCCAGCATCTTTCTCTAACTACTTCTGCTTCTTCCACAGAAGAGAAGAGAAAGAGAAAGAGAAGAGTTGAATTACGATTCCAGAGAGAGAAAGGACATCATCTTTTTTCTTTTTATTTTATTTTATCATTGCTTAGGCCTTTGGGTTTAGTTTCATTACTCGACCCAAAATCCAAACCCGACACTTTACTCAAATCAATTAATTACAATAAATTTGTGTAAATTTTTCATTATTTTCAAATCAAACCAACTTAACCAATAATCATTATATTATATTCTGTTTTATTTATAAATATAAAAAAACAGTTAAATGGCATTGAGTTAGGACATTAGATATAAAAAATTAAAAAATATTTTTACCAAAATATTAACATTCAAATTAATCAAATACTGGTATATGCCAAATTATAAATGTACAAGTATAAACGAAAAAAAACCAATGTTTTAAAACTTAGATGAGTGATCAATCTAAAAATATTGAACCAATGAATCACTAATTCATCTAGTGGATCATTAATCATTTGATTTTAAGATTTTATTAAAATTTGTTTAATGAACTAATATCAGAAGTTGATATTTATCCTAAATAACAACAAACCTAATTAGATTGGGTTGAATTTTATCAAAACATTTTAAAAACTTAAACCATAACTATTTGGATTGACTTAAATATGTTTGAGTTCATGGTTTCTTATATATTTAATCACCCTTATATTTTACCATAAATTTATATTGCACTAAAAAAATTGTTTGGATAAATTAAGTACTTATAGAAAATAAAATAAAATCAGAAAATGAAACAAATTTTTTAAAAATTTAAAAGTAGTTTATGAATAAATTAATTTATGGTTTTTTATATTAACTTAAAAAACTATTTTTAATTAACGTACATGTTAATTTTATCTTATTCAAAAATAAATTTTTTCTTAAATTTTTCTTGTAAAAGTATTTAGGTCCAAACAAATCATAATGAATTAGACCATAATTAGATTAGTTATGTAAGTTGATGTACATAAAACAGTCACATCATCTAAATTCTAAACCCTTTATTCACCTGTCATTGTTTGCATATTATTTGAAATTTGTAGATTAGATCTTACAAATGATTTCATATACTTTTGATTTGAAGACCTTACATGCTTTTGATTTGTAGATATTTTCGGAAGAAAACTTACCAATAATAAGGATGAGAATGTTTTTTTTTTTTAATGTTTGTATTATTAGATATTCACTTTGTCTTTATGAATAGATATATATCATTAAGTTGATTGTTGTAATTTATATACCGATGTAATAGAAAATTGATTAAATTATATTTTTAGCCTTTTATTTTATTTTATTTTTATTTATTTTAGTCTATTATCTTTTTAAATTCTTATTTTGATGATTTATCTTTTAAATTTTGATCTATGTGATCTTTTTTAAATAGTGATTATTTTTAGTTTTGATAAACAATTTTAAATATTTTATTAACAAATTCAAAATTTAAAATTTATCTCATTAAATTCATTAATATAAAAATTATGAATTTAATTTTTTTTAATCTAAAAACAATTATAAACATAATAAAAAATCATGTAAAAAAAATATCCACAAATAATTAGAAATTAATATAAAATTAAGTTTTTATAATTGTTCTTATTACTTTTGACACTTATTGATATGTAACTTTTATCATATTTATAACATTTTTTAGTTTGAAATTCAGTTATAATTGTGTTTATTAATTTTCATATAAATAAGTTTAATTAAACAATTTTTAAGTTTTGACCAGTAAATAAAAGATTTAAAATCATGACTCAAAATGAAAAATACTCGTTATTTAAAAAAAAGACTAAATAAATCCAAATTTAGAAAATAAAAAATAAAAATAAATATATTTAAAAGTAAGAAACTAAAATAAATTCAAAAATAAAATAAAAAATAAAAATATAATTTAACCTAAAAAAAAATACTATCAATATTAAACATCAATCCACCAATTTTTATTGGTCATGTTAAAATGCATATAATAGACATGGTGTGTGAATAAACACACCTTAAATTATAGAATAAACAATCAAATTTTCTCTTAAAAATACTTAAATAAGTATGGAAGTGTTTTTTTTATACCTTAATTTTAGAAGTGTTAAAATTTAATTTGAATGATCCATTAAAAAAACTTTGATTAATTAATTTTAAATTTAATATATATCTTATCTCATATAATATAATTTGAGCACTACCGGGGGTGGCTAATACGATGGTGAAGAAGAAACTTGTTAGCTAATCCTAAAAAGACATAAATGCATTTTATGAGTTAAATTTGTGGATTGAAAAGCGGAACCTAGCAGGAGGAGGAGGAGTGTGCGCGATGGAGGAAGGTAGAGAGTCGAGCGTGAAGCAGAACGAAACGCGCCCATCTCTAAAATCCGATTCTTCATTCAACAAATATCAATTATGGAAACAGAAGGTCCCTTTCAATTTCTAACTATTCTTTTTCTTTTCTTTTTGGAAACACAAGTTAACCGAGTTGGGTTCGTTTCGCAGTTGAGGGACAATTGCTACAAAAGGGTGCGAGAGGACAGAACTCGCTTACTCTGGAAATTCAGATGCAACCAACAGGTTCACCTCATTATTATAATTCTGTAGCGTTCTTCTTCTTGTTGTTGTTAACTAGTTATCATCGTCATTACTCGTTGGCAGGAGGATATTGTGAAATCTGCATTCCAGGATATTGTGTCAGATGAATTTGACAAAATCAAACACACTGATGAGCTATTATGGGAGTACGAAGGTCCTTCTCATACTACTGAATGCCAAGATATACTGTTAGAAATGCAAAGGATATTTTATGAAGATCTCAAATCCCAACCACCCCTGCAAGGTAAAATTACTCGCTCTCTCAAAAATTGCACCCTCTTGTTACTTTCTTTTATCAAGGATAAATGACATCATATTTAATTATCTAGCACCTTCTCTGATATTTAATATGGAAAAACTTGGCTACATTACTGTGATATATTATAGTACTACTGGAGCTTTTGTTCCATTAAAGTTGGAGTTTTACTTCCGTAATATACATTTATGCTTATTATTGAGATAAAACTTTAATTTTGATTGGAGAGCAATATCAACTGTATTGTATTTTTGTCCATTTAATATTATATTATATATCTTTAGAATGTTAAATCCCCAATGAGTGAATGTGATTGCAATCATTGCATTGCATTGCATGTGACTTTATTTATGTATGGATGTGATGTGTGTGTGTTTATGTTTGCTTCCATTGGCTGTTGTACTGGATTGTGCCAGAAGAGTAGATGGGAAACAAAAGAAACACCAAAACTATTAAGAAAATCTATGAAAGGGGCATGTGGTTGTAGGTTTACTTTGCTACTAAACTTGTGTTAACTAGCACCTGCTTTTAATATGATCTTACCTTACCTATCTCCCTGCAGATTTAGTAAGCGATATTGATTATTGGGAAGATGACGTGGATGAGTACTTGGCTCGTTCAGTTTATGAGCATATGCAGCTAAATGCAGATGAGGTATACAAATCAAAACATGACAGTTTCCGAAGTTATCTTCTAATTAGATATTGACAGCTCTCAATAACAGCAGTTTTAGGTTTTGATTCTGCATCTATACCTCTCCTATCATTGGATCTTGAGCTTGTTATTTCTGCTGCCAATATCTATATCTGTAATATAAACTGAAGCTCAAGTATCCTATGGTCATTTCTGCATATTGGCTACCCACATCATAATCACTGACATTTCCACATTGCATTGATTTGAGAATCAATATCCTGGATGATGTATCTGTGTTATGTTGCAAAAAATATATGTATTTATGTGTAGTGCTTTCATACTATTTTCAACATAAAAGAATACAAAGTGACCTTAAAATTTGAGTTTTTATTTAATTGGATTGAACTCTCTGATTTTATTATGAAAATTGATAATAGGCCCATGGGAAAGAGATTTGGTGTCCTATTTGTAAGCATGGAGAACTTAAAGACAGTCACAATCTTATATACTGCAATCGTTGTGAACTTCAACTAAACAAAGCTAGTGAGGTACTTATATTTTGCCCCTTTGTTGACCTCTCCGATGGCAACACACTTTAATTTTCCTCACCAAAACTACCTGGAATATAAGAACTGAGAATATTCCTCTTGGATGTAAATGTATCAAAGCACCACCGTCAAATCACCCAACTAGATGCACTCATTTGATTTTTCGTAATTAACACCAACTAATGTAAAATAGACTTGTGTTGTTCTTTGTAGGAGTGTTTGTGTTAGACTGGTTTAGGTTTAGGGTAAAATTAAATTCAAACCATTACTCTTGTTTTCTTGGTTTTTGAGCGTATGAGGATGATTTATTTATTTATTTTAGAATTTTTTCAGCATCAAGGGGCAACGAGGCTATAGATTTGAGTAGCCTGGCTCTGTATTAACAATTCAATCAGTGCTATGAATTATACATTATGCTTCTGAATCTAACTTTTGTGCGGGAAGAAATTCTTTGACATAGATAGAAATTTAATTGATGAACCTTAAATCTCAAGTGTTATGCCAATGTGGTAGCAGCCTCAGGCTAGGGTTGAAGATACAAAATGAGTGATTTCCCTGGATATTTATATGACTAGGACTCTCCACACTCTGCAAGAGTAATCCTTTCTCAAATGGTAACGTGATTTCTCTCTCAACTCCTCTTTATTTATGGGCAATATACCTTATTTCTTCTACCATCTCAACCCGCCCAACTAATCTAACTAACTCCCCTCACTAACAGACACCTAATCAACTAACTATTAATGGCTATCTATCAATACTCCCCCTCCCTAAAGTTTCACTTGTCCCCATTCATGTTTTGTGGCTGCTAAATGAAGTTCCATTCATGTTCAATTGATTGAAGCACGATGACCAAGCCAATTCCACCTTGAATCCCCAAAATAGCTTCCACTCCCCCTGGCTCAAACACAATCATGTGTATGCCCCCGTGATCCTTTAGTGCTCAGTTTTCTATGGTATTTCTGTCCATGAAATAGAGCATCAAAGGCTTTGTAATTATACTGAGATCCCATAGATCCCTTGTGAACTACACTACTGCACTACTACACTGTTGATTATCAATATCACCTTAATTTTCTTATGCAGTAGGCTGATTGTACTACCCACACCCAACACCACCATCATAGCCATTGGTTCAGTCCACAATGTTGATTCTTTGCCCATAATGTTATTGGGTTGCTTTTGTTGGATATTTCCCGATTCTTGTAGCTTTCTTTAATTCAATTCTTGCCCTTTTGCTGTTGGTTCTGCTCTCTCTAAACCTTCATCTTCTCATTTATTTTCCAACGTTCAAGGTTCTTGCACCTCATCATGGAGCCACACTAGTAGATCTATATCAAATTCTGGTTGGAATGATTTGAGCAAAACCTTCAAGAAGTCCCACCATGATGCACTTGGATGGTCCCCTTTCTACATAAACCACCAATCAAAAACATGCCCTCGCCTAGCCTTCCCAACTCTGTGTATTGTTAAAATATATGAAAATGTTTTATCATATCTCAAAATACCTTACGTATATCCTGGAATATCTTGAATATGAAAATATCTTATCATATATGTTATTGTACATTTTTTTTTTTCAAGTAGTCATACTCTGTTGGTGCATAGCTTTCTTTTCTTTGGTCATTTGGAAAGGTCAAAGATTCTTTAAGTTGCTAACAAATAATGGTAAAGAGGAAATTAATAACCTCCGTAAATGTAGGAAATAAAGCCTACAGAAAATGGAAGTTTCTTCATTTTGTTAGATGTAACAACCCATCAAGAAGCATCTCATCTCTTGTAGAGGAGAACTGGTTTTCTTAGATTAATTTATTTATTGCGAGAGTTGAGTGTATACAGCCGTGAGAAAACAGATATTTGAGTGTATTTGGGCTTTTTGGGATTTGAGTGAAGTATGATATTTGTCATCACTACAATATTTCTTTATTGAATATATATGGTAGTCGTATCTACATGTGGATATAAGTTGTAAGCAGAACGACATTTGTTCTTACACTTGCTTTATTTACACACATGACAACGTCATTTTTTCTTCTGAGATTCAGCTTACTTTGGACCTTTTGCGAGACCGGCTGGCTGAAGTCCACGCAGAGCATCTTGACAGAGGCTGCAGATTGAAACCAAAGTTTTGTATGAAGACAAAGTTTAATTTAACTGCTTTGTACATTTCATGTGAAGATTGTGATACATTTGAGGTTGTAGTTTAACAGTTTCGTTGCTATTCGTTATAGAAATATCAGTTTCGACATATATCAAAAAGAGTTTCCCCATCTTGTTTGGTTTCTAATAATATGCATGGGAAAAGGTAATGTTCTTGTAGAAAAAAAATATGTTGAACTTGAACCTCGAGTTCTTAAGAATACAGAAAAAATGAATGCAAAACAATTGACCATATTAAAAAACCTTTAATTTTTATCATGCGACAGACAGTGCCTTGGTATTCTTTCAAAATAATTCATATACTGGTCGTGCTTTTAGACTAGTTGGCTATGCTGAAAAATCCTTCGAGCAGCTAATTATTTTTCTCACTATTATAGACCCACAAAAGGGGAATAAAAGAGAGATCCCTCGCTAAACAAACCAGTATGTAACTGTCTCACTTGCCTATAATTGTCGTACGAGGAATAATCATGCATGCAATGAGTATAATTTTAACTAAAGATTTATGCAAATTTTGTGTCCAATTTAATCTTCAAGTTAGGCATATTGGTAATATTAAAAAGAAAATTATTCATTAAAAGCCCCATCCTTTGCAAGCAACATAAAATTGTTGATCATCCTATCTGTTTGCTTTCTTTTATTATAGCCAGACATCGTGTTCAAGTTCATCCATCCAGTAAAAAACACAAGGTTCATCTATGTTTCCTAAATAATGTCAACATTGGATCCCAATTTCCCAATGTGCTAAAAATTGAAATCAATTAATCAAAATTTTCTTAATTTACCTAACTGATAATTCTCTATCTATTCCCACCCCCCAAGTGTGTAGTCCACAAAGATAGCACATTGATATGTAATGCATGAACCAAATACGTGCCTACATTAAGAAGATAACACGTGGCACTTGAATTAGGAGTTAAACAATGATTCGAATGCTTAAAAGCTTCAAATTCAAGTGACTTACAGCTCAAGATAATACACTGGGTAGATACAGGATGGAAAAATGATACAGATTATAACGAAAGCAACTGCCACAACAATAATCTAAGTTGACCTACAAAATTCACCCATGGAAAAAGTAAATTTGCAAACAGAGAAGATTTAACATTTAGATCTCCCTAAAAACCTTCTCAGCAGCAGCTATTGTCTTTTTGATGTCATCAGAACTATGTGCCAAGCTGGTGAAGCCAGCCTCAAACTGCGAAGGTGCCAAATACACTCCTTCTGCCAACATTCCCCAAAAGAACCTAGCAAACTTGGCCGTATCACTCTTCTTGGCATCTGCAAAATTATACACAGGTCCTTCTGTGAAGAAAAATCCAAACATCCCACTTATATGCCCACCACATATTGCATGGCCAGCCCTTTTCCCAGCTTCAATGATGCCTTGAATAAGCTCTCCTGTGATTTTGTCCAAGTACTTGTAAGTTCCCGGCTCCTTAATACGCAGCAGGGTCTGTATGCCTGCAGTCATGGCCAAAGGGTTCCCACTCAAAGTCCCAGCCTGGTACATTGGTCCGGCCGGTGCCACCATCTCCATGATATCCCTCCTCCCTCCATAAGCGCCCACTGGCAGACCTCCACCAATGATCTTTCCTAGAGTTGTTATGTCAGGAGTTATGCCAAAATACTCTTGTGCACCTCCATATGACAACCGAAATCCAGTCATAACTTCATCAAACACAAGAAGGGTGTCATTCTCTTTGGTGATTTTGCGCAAGAAATTGAGAAATTCAGGTCTAGGAACGATGAAACCAGCGTTTCCAACAACTGGTTCGAGGAAAACGGCGGCAATCTCTCCTTGGTTAGTCTCAAAGAGCTTCTCAACAGCCAAGGTGTCATTGTAGGGGGCTGTAAGGGTTTCAAAAGTGGCAGCTTGGGGAACACCAGGGGAATCAGGAAGTCCTAAGGTGGCAACTCCACTACCTGCCTTAACAAGAAAAGGATCCGCATGGCCATGGTAACACCCCTCAAACTTGATGATCTTCTCCCTTTTGGTATAAGCACGAGCCAAACGGAGCGCACCCATGCAAGCTTCTGTGCCTGAATTGACAAACCGAACCATTTCAATGCTCGGGACCGCATCAATAACCAGCTTAGCCAAAGTGTTTTCTAGCAAACAGGGTGCACCAAAGCTAGTTCCTTTTTTCATGGTTTCACCCAGAGCTGCAAGAACCTGTGAACATGATTTGAACAGAAAACACATTTTTTTTTTCAATTAGAAAAGATTAAAACTACAATAATAAGGATCGAATTTAAGTTCTCATGCCTCTATTCCATGCCGATCCTAATGGTTTGAACAGAAAAGTAAATTTAATACCGAGATTAATTTTTATGTAGTCAAGTATATTTTTTTTTATCAACTAATCAATCAGTAATCATCATCCTTTTCATTTTTTGAATTAAAATTTGTCTACTGAATGAATGGAAAATGGGAAGTTTAGTTACCTGATCATCGGCGTGACCAATAATTGCAGGACCCCAAGAACCGACGTAGTCAATGTACTCATTGCCATCGATGTCCCACATTCGAGACCCTTTCACCGAATCAATCACAATTGGTTGACCACCAACGGATTTGAAAGCACGAACTGGGGAATTCACACCTCCAGGCAGCAGCTCCTAACACCAACATCAAAATCAAATAAAAATTCAATCTTTAATAATCGAATTTGAATTGGAAAGGAAGGGGTTGCGTGGTGCGTACCTTGGCAGCAGCGAAAGCTTCCTCGGACTTGGTAAGAGTGAGTTTGTTGTCGGTGGATACGGCCATTGTGACGGAAAGAGAAGGTCGTGAGCGTGAAGGGGTGAGAGAGGAAAGGGGATGGACATTTCCTAGGGTTAGCCTAGCTCCTGTGATTGCCGAAACAGCCATTTGAGAGTGTGAGACAACAGATAAGACTCTGTCAAATGAAATGCTAAAACCTTACCCAACACACTCCTCAATCTCTACGGGCTTCTTGGCCAAAATAGGGCTGTATGCAAACTCATTTACGTAAATGGGGTTCTTTTGAAACTATTTACACCTTTTGGGTTGTTTACAATGGTGGCCATAGCGACATCATTGCCACGTGGCATTTTTTTAACTCCAGAGAAGCCATGAAAGTCATATTGATGAAGTTGGTGCAGCCTATAGCGACACTAATAGCTTCAATGAAGTCGCTGTAGCCCATAGCGCCTCATATTTGAAATTTAAAAAATAAAAATTCAAAAAATATAATTATTGAAAAAAAAGTTTATAAAATAGTTATTAAAATTTATATGATAATGTAAAATAAAAAATTACAAAAATAATATATTACAGATTATTAGAAAGGATTGTTTAAAATAAATTACGCTTTTAAAGTTGTTTAACAGGTGATGTTTGGTCGGTTAAAGCACCACCTGTTTGTAATTTTTTTATTTTTATTTTTTATTTCTTTTTGTATTTATATGAATATGGTGTTAGAGTTCAATGTGACGTTAATTGAAAGTTATTGGAATCAATAATAATATTATTTAAATCATTATTCGCTCCTGTAATTTTTATATTATTGTTAGATATAAAGTTAGAGTTACACAAAAAAGAAAATGTTATAATAACTTACAACAATTCCATTTTTTTTTTAATGTTGTAGCAGATTATAGCAACAAATAATGGCTTTAATAATTAAAAAAAAAAAACAAATTAAATTGTGGCGCTATAGCCTATAGCGACACTGTGTCGCTATAGGCCATAGCGCCACTCACAAAAATAATTATATATATTTTTTTAAATTACGTTTTTAAAAAAATATTTTTTATTTTTATAAATATATAATAAGTAAACTCAGTTGATTATTTTAAATTTATATTTAAATTATTTTACTTTTTTTCGTTTTTTTTCTTAAAGGGTGTCGCTATGGGCTACACCATTTTTATTGGCCCACAAACTGTGTTGCCTCAGCCCATAGCGACACTGGTATGGCTCATTCGAGCCCACCCCACACCAAAAAACAAAAAAGTCACGTAGCAATGGTGTCGCTATGGCCTATAGCGACACCGTTGTTAACAGCCCCAAAGGCGTAAATAGTTTTAAAAGTGCCTCATTTACGTAAATAAGTTTGCATACAGATACAGCCCTACTTTAGTCAAAAAGCCATCTCTATGTAAAACTCTACCTACTTTCTTCTTACAAAATAATAATAGCTATCATTTAAAAATTCCTAAAAAAAACAAATAACACTTCAAAATTAAGGACTCAAATTCATATAGAAAGATTAACAAATAAAAATATATTATTTTAAATATTTTTTATTTTATAAAAATTAATATTATTGATGCAAATTATTTATTATATTTTTTAATAATTAATCTTTATTAAAAATTATAACTCATGTCTCTCATTAAGTCTTCTTTTTTATTACATTTATTATTTATAAAATTTAAATTCAATACCAATTCTTATATATAAAATATAAATAATTATCTCGTATAAGAACATTTTTAAAAAAATAATTGAAAAAAGAGTTTTTAGAATTTTTTTTTAATTTTACATCTAATTCAAATTTTTATTATCATATTTAATAATAAATTAAACTTTCATATTTTGAATAAGTTATCAATTAATAAAATAATCTTATACTACATTATAAATTATTTTATCATAAATTTAAAATATAATTTATATATTTAAAAATATTTCTTTTGTCAAATTTTATATATAATTTATAAATTCAAATATAATACTTATTTATATAATATATTTTAAACTTTAGTTATATAATAAATACGTGAATTATACAAGTTAAAATATTATTCATTTAAAAATTTAAATTAATTTTACATATCAACAATTTGTTGATTATTTTTATATGAAAAAATTATTAGAATGGAACTGATTATAGGAATTTAGTTTTTTTTTATAAAAAAAATACTATACCTTTTCGAAAGCAAAAAACACAAGCAAAAGTTCATTTTTTAAAAACACAATAAAGACCACCAAGGCATCAAACCATAAATTAAAATACTTTGGATTACCTTTTGGAGTATTTTGAATAAAAAAATAACAAGTAGTTTTCGTTAGACATGACTTGATAAGTCGAAGTTAAACTTTAATATTGAAATTTGAAACATAAAATTACTCACCAAGCACGTCCACTAATATAAAAATCCAATTGTTTCTGATCTATTAATTTTTTTTAATACATTAGAAGAAATCCAATAAATAAAGTTGTTGGAAAGATTTTTTTTAAGATACTCTTCTTAATATTTTTTTTTACTATTGATTAAAATTTATCAAAAAATATAATGTTATGAGTTAAAAACCATTAAATAATAATAAAAGTAAAAAAAAGTACATATTTATACAGTTTTTTGATAAACTTTAATCAACAATATAAAGTATGTTAGTGAGTTCAATATAAATATATATATATA